TCCAATCACTCAGAAATATGGATGAGGTTTGGGGCTGAGAAAATTGTTGTTCTCAGGCTGGCCAGGCCCTGTCTGATGGACGTCCTAGACGACCACTCGAGGAATCCCATCCTCGTCGCTAAAATTGTTGTGGAAAAATTATCTTTTAAAGCTCAGTGAGTGTAAATTAAATACTTAACATCAAGTTGTTACATATTTATTCCTGCAGGAAGGAGTGATCTCTGAACAGAGTGACTAAACCAGTCTGTTGCAGGGAAGCTCAATGAACAGAATGTGACTGCCCTTATACTCAGCATACAACAAAGAAAACAGATGCTTAAACAGATAAAAGAAAACAGGATACAATTTACAACAGGATACCAGCCCTTTGGTATCCTGAGAACACTTGTACCTTGAACACTTGTATGCCCTTGTGGTTGCCAAACCACAAGGGCATACAAATGTTTACGACCATGCAATAAACGGCCTGGGGTCACAACCACGCAAATGACTGCATACTTGAATGCATCAGCTAAAGAACTTAAAGGGTGCTATTATAAAAATTCCACTACACTCCTGCTGTGTGTGCACCATGTAGCTGTATTTACAACCGAAAATAAGTCAAAAACTTGTTTTAAAGTTGTAAAATGTACAGATGTTATTGTATAATTTCTTGGTTATTTTATGTTAATGTTTAAATATATTTTGTCCCCTTTCAGAGTCTGGATGCTCCATCTTTGCAGAACGTCTCCTTCAGTCTGAACCCAAAACAGTTGTTGGCAGTAATTGGACCAGTGGGAGCTGGAAAGGTCAGTCTCATTCCACCAATTCACAGTCAGTGGGCAGCTAGAACTGTTATTTGTAGCAGTCTGTTGAATGACAAAACTGGTTATGTGCAGTAGCTCTGGAAGTCTGTGTACATGTTTCCCATCTCGTCATTCAGCTTGTGTCTAACCTCTTTGTGCCTGCATGTCCATCCAGTCCTCCCTGCTGAGCTCCATCCTGGGAGAGCTGCCTAGTGAAAAGGGGTTATTGAAGGTCAAAGGTCAGCTGACCTACGCCGCACAGCAGCCCTGGGTGTACCCAGGAACTATTCGCAGTAACATCCTGTTTGGGAAAGAAATGAACCCCCAGAAGTATGAGAGAGTCATCAAAGCTTGTGCCCTGAAGAGGGTGAGAGAGAGTTTAGTCATTATATTTTACATTACAAGTCTGCACCAGGCCCATATTAGAGTTTGAATAGATACAAATGTAATCATTACATGTAGGAAAAGGTTGGTCTTAGTCAACATGAACCAAATAACAGAGCAATGAAAGAATAATAAGACTATATTTAAAGACCCACTCCACTCAAAATTGTGTTTTTAATACCCCATAAATACATCACTCTACTACGCTGACTGTTGTAGGTGCATAGTTTGTTACTGACAGGCCGTTTTAACATTCCTCTGCTGAAGGGGGCAGATATCTCTCTTCTTCCAAAAAATCTGAGTTTGAAAGAGGCTCAGGCAGAATGGATTTGTGATATAACATATGGTACAGTACACTATGTTTTGAATAAGCTGAGATAATGACATACAGTGGTGTGAAAAAGTGTTTGCCCCCTTACTGATTTCTTATCTTTTTGCATGTTTGTCACACTGTAATGTTTCAGATCGTCAAACAAAGTTATATATTAGTCAAAGATAACACAAGTAAACACATCATGCAGTTTTTAAATGAAGGTTTTTATTATTAAGGGAAAACTCATCTTTGCAGAATTGTTGTAAGTCAGCCACATTGGAGGGTTTTCGGGCATGAACTGCCTTTTTAAGGTCATGCCACAGCATCTCAATTGGATTCAGGTCAGGACTTTGACTAGGCCACTCCAAAGTCTTCATTTTGTTTTTCTTCAGCCATTCAGAAGTGGACTTGCTGGTGTGCTTTGGATCATTGTCCTGCTGCAGAACCCAAGTTCGCTTCAGCTTGAGGTCACAAACGGATGGCCGGACATTCTCCTTCAGGATATTTTGGTACACAGCAGAATTCATGGTTCCATTTATCACAGCAAGTCTTCCAGGGCCTGAAGCAGCAAAACAGCCCCAGACCATCCCACTACCACCACCATATTTTACTGTTGGTATGATGTTCTTTTTCTGAAATGCGGTGTTACTTTTACGCCACACATAATGGGACACACACCTTCCAAAAAGTTCAACTTTTGTCTCGTCTGTCCACAGAGTATTATCCCAAAAGTCTTGGGGATCATCAAGATGTTTTCTGGCAAAACTGAGACGAGCCTTTATGTTCTTTTTGCTCAGCAGTGGTTTTCGTCTTGGAACTCTGCCATGCAAACCATTTTTGCCCAGTCTCTTTCTTATGGTGGAGTCATGAACACTCAGCTTAACTGAGGCAAGTGAGGCCTGCAGTTCTTTGGATGTTGTTGTGGGGTCTTTTGTGACCTCTTGGATGAGTTGTCGCTGCGCTCTTGGGGTAATTTTGGTCGGCTGGCCACTCCTGGGAAGGTTCTCCACTGTTCCATGTTTTCGCCATTTGTGGATAATGGCTCTCACTGTGGTTCGCTGCAGTCCCCAAGCTTTAGAAATGGCTTTATAACCTTTTCCGGACTGATAGAGCTCCATTATTCTCTTTCTCATTTGTTTTTGAATTTCTTTGGATCTCGGCATGATGTCTAGCTTTTGAGGATCTTTTGGTCTACTTCACTTTGTCAGGCAGGTCCTATTTAAGTGATTTCTTGATTGCGAACAGGTGTGGCAAGAGAAATTGAACTCAGGTGCGATAAACCAGTGTTTTGACAGGGGGGCAAACACTTGTTCACACAGGGCTCTATAGTTTTGGATTTTGTTTTCCCTTAATAATAAAAACCTTCATTTAAAAACTGCATGATGTGTTTACTTGTGTTATCTTTGACTAATATATAAATTTGTTTGACGATCTGAAACATTACAGTGTGACAAACATGCAAAAAGATAAGAAATCAGTAAGGGGGCAAACACTTTTTCACACCACTGTAGCTGCTGTTTAACGTTATGAGATGGTATGAAGTCTAGCAGGGTTAGGGTTATGCAGCACGTTTCTCCTTAGCCATGCATGTATTTTAATCTACATTTTCTTAATGTTTCTTAAAGTCTCATGCGTTATTGAGGCAGCTGAGGAACCATTCAGACCTGGGCTGTGTCAAATAAACCTGAGTGTCACCTGTACCTGTTTCTGATCTCTCAGATGTCTGACTGGTTTAAACACCAGAGGATGAACTATGATTGCAGTTACCTTTGGCAGGAGGAGAGCTTACAGAAGCTGTGCCTTGTAAATGAGTTACCTGTGAGTCCTGTGACATTGTTAACTTGTATTTGGGCAGTAAGGGCTTAATTTACCCATATTGACCTAAACAGAAGAAATAAAAAAACAATATCTTTGATTGGGCCTGTCCTAGTAGTATTGCTTGGTGCACACACACACTCCTCTCATTTAATAATGTCACTCACCCATATACCATAAACCATGTCTGTTTTTTATATGCGGCCACACAATGTTCCTGTCAGCTTTGATTTGTGAAGAGTAATGTGCTGAATCACTCAGCACGTGAAGTTATTGTCAGCTTGTGCAATCATTTTTATGGACTCTTTCCATGAAAATGTATTGTTTAATTGTTGATTCATCTTGACAGTTTGTGGATTAACTGTCTATAAAATGTCAGAGATATTGAAATGTCTTATTGTAGTTTATCAACAATCCAAAACTGTCAAATATTCAGTTTATAATGATGTCAAACAGAGAAACACATTGTCTTATTTATTAAAATGAAATAGTGGTTTTAAACAAATTATAATGTGTGCTCATCTTATTCCCACATTACTGAATGATTTGGCTGGCGTTATTTAAACCTTTTTACTCATGGTTAATAATATTTGGAGAAAGGAAGATAATAATTAGCTCCAATGTCTAAAAGCCAAATGTTTCATGTTGACATTTCTGTTATCTGTGCTACAGCACTAGATGTGCAAAGGTAGAAATGCTGTCAACTCCCCCTTCTTTTTACTAAAACAGGTTTTAATACTGGCTGTGCTTGCTCTGTTGTTCATGTAAAGCTGAAGTAATGCATCTTAAACTTGTCTTGCCTGGTATTGTTGCAGAATGTTATTTCATTTCTAAAATGAACTATTCAGATGGTTACTCACATTGGTGGTTTTCATATCTCTGTGAAACAATTTAGCAGTGGTGTATATTAACAGATACAGGACTATACTATTAGTATTGTATGTACATTTTGACCTGCTGTGAATATATAGTATAGTGACCACTCCTCTGGTTTCTTTTTTTGTGAGCACGACATTTTTGTGTGCAGGACCTGGAGCTGCTCCCAGATGGAGACCTGACACTGATCGGGGACAGAGGAGCCACACTCAGCGGAGGGCAGAAAGCACGTGTCAGCCTGGCCAGGTACCACAACAGTCTACGTCACATGTTTTGGATTGAAGTTCTAAAGAAAACCACATAGGTTTATTTGATGACTAGAAAAATGGAACTCCTTTATTTAACTTTTAAAAGTAATTATTAAATGGTGTATGAAGGGCATGATATGCTAACTCCTGGACATAGGAATAAAGCTTAACCTCTCACACTAAGGTGGCATATTTGAAACATATTAAAGCTCCAAACATTGCTTGAGGTTTTATGACGGAGATATTCACTCAGTAATTGACTACCATGAACCTGTGAACAGAGTTCCCTGCAGACCTCCCTCTTACATGTTATTAATTCAGGATAAGACCCTAAAACCTCCCAAATAACAACAATCTGCAGTTATTGTTGCAGCTACCTCCTTAAACCCTCAGATGTTACTGTACTGGGAAATTTTTATAAACCAGTACACTCTGGCTCTTTGAGGAAGTGTTAAATTTAGTCTGAAATAACCAATGAAAGCTGTGTCACTGGACACTTAAGACCATAATTGTTTTACACAGTATTTAGTTGACATAAGATGGTATTAAGTATAGGAAATTTAAAGAATAGTGTATATTATATAACAAGTAAATAGTTGGATATTTTTAGATAAACCCTTTTCTGATGTAACTGTCTAAAATCATTTCAGCAGTTCAATCTTGGCCTTCTGTCAACCCTGTGAACTGTTATGCAACCTCAGACAAGTGGCTGGTTTGTATGGCATAACACCCGAGCAACTAGCCCAATCAGAGAGGCACTGCTTCTCTGAGACACTGTCAAGAAGGTTGGCATACTATTAATACTATTGATTGTTAATCTATCTGATTAAACTGTCCAAAAATCCTTCCCTCTCGCAGCCAGCAGGTTTGTACGGAATTTACCCAAGCAACAAGCCCAATCAAAGAGGCACTGCTTCTCTGAGACACTGCTGAGAGGGTTGGCATACTACTATTAACACTGTGAATTGTGTAATATATGCGGCCTTATCCATTAACACTTAAAAGTGTAAACCCACTAAAATCATAGGAATGTCAATAACATCAAACTTGGCTCAATAACCACAGAGTATTAAACCTTTTCAGGAATTTTATATAGAAGCTTAAAAGAGCAAGCAACAAAACAATAAAACATAACCCTTAAAATCATCAATAATTGTCTTGATTAGTTTACAATCTAAATAAATCAACAACTACTATTTATAGCATCACTAAAATATACTGATTAAAATCATTATGGTCGAGCTAAGCTCTTGATCTGAATAAAAGTCAAAAGTCTCATGTCACAGACCCTCAGCTGGCTCTGGGCAGGGTGGCGGCAGGTTGGGCAATTGTTTGTTCTTTTTCCCCCTTTGGCCATGATTCAAGCTTTCACAAGGGGAAAAGAATTTTTAAACAGAAATATCAAAGCTCATCCCGTTCAATCTTCAAAACTCTCAAAGAGAGAAATAGGACAAATTCAGATAAACAGTGTTTTTCTTGGTCAAATCTTGTGTAACTCAGGAACATGGAAATGTCTAAAATGGTTTTCTTTTCAAGCCATCTTTCCCCACCTTGCCGGGTGGATTGTGGCATTCTGTTCAAATTCTTCATTTCTTCTTCAATCATCGTTTAAGCAAGAATTCAGTTTTCCTGCTGTCCGGCTGAACGATGAGGCTCCATCGCAGCTCTATCATCCCTCGTTGACATCCATTCCTCCGTCACAGGCTGAAACCGCCTGCGGGGAACACCCACAGAAAGGTGCTCTTTTGGGCTGCATCCGTAGTCCTCAGTCTCCTGGAAGTCAAACGATCATCTGGACAGAGCCTCCGGCCGCAGCCGTGAAAGAACTCTTCGTTCCTCTTTTTGCCTGGGTTTTTATAAGATTCTGATCAGTAGTCTTTGTCCTCTCATCCAACCAGATGCCGCAGTTTGCAATTAATACCTTATTTGGCATGCAAAATCATATTGTTCTGAAGTATTGCATATTTTTTATTGTCAGCTCAAGCCTACTGCCCATAACTGGCCTCCGCCCCACTGTGATCCAGCCTTGGATTCTACTTCTCTTTTCTTAGAAACTAAACCATCACAATATGTAACAAAAATACAAGAAACTCACATCTGACTGAAATATCAAAATTCCATCACAGCTTTTAACAGAACAATCAGAATTACACACTGATTTTACACAAAACTATCAATACCTTAAAATCAAAACATAAATCTTTATAGTTTGAATACATTACTGATTGATCAAACATTAATTATCAGTCAAATCTTTACTTGTAAGGGTGGAACATTCATTTTCGTTACTTCCTCAGTATGTTGTGTGTCTCTTCTCTGTGCCGTGCACACACAAACTTTTGCAGTTCCTCCTTTCAGGGATGTGTGTCTACTTCCTCTTTTCTGTGATTCTTGCATTTTTCACTCTGAGATGTAAATCACTTCTCTCCATTCTTTTAATACAAGCATTTCACATTTTACATTTTATTCTTACACATTCTCTAATGATTATTTCAACAAACACACACATAAATCATCTTATGATTAGCCTTACTCATTAAAAGCTTAACTTTCTAAGCATTCTGCCATAGCATTTTAATAATAATTCCTTTGTCTTCTCCAACCTCCCCTGGAACTTCCTCTTTCTCCTCTGCTTTCTCTGTATCTTGGTGCTCTTTGAGGCCCATTTTTACAGCCTTGCTGACAATGGGGGTGTAATTAAAGAATGCTGTCAGGTAATCTAGTCACATAGCTGTGTGAGACGGCTGGGTCAGTGACTGAGTGACTACTTCATTGAGGTGTATCATAACGTTTGAAAAACAGCAGAAGTTGTGGATAGTAGTGAGCATGGTTACAGCTGAGAAAAGCGGAGCACCAAAGTCATCTAAAGTTCAGGAGCACTTTATTTCACAAACAGAGAGAAGAAATAATCAGGAGATTAATCAGTTATTAAAATAGTCGGTAGTTGCAGCCCTATGGTCAAGAAGGCTGACATGTTCAGAGCAGCTTACTTCCTGTAGGAAAAGGTGAGCTTTACAGTTCCTGGCTAAAGCCGCTTGAACATAACCCACATTAAACAATACATTTGCATTTCAAATGCAAGTAAGAAAACTTGTGACTTAAACATGGTGTGATAGCTACACGCTTAGAGTAGACGCTAACGACAGTGCATGTGTTTCAGGGCTGTGTATCAGGATGCAGACATCTACCTGCTGGATGATCCTTTAAGTGCTGTGGATGCTGAGGTTGGGAGACACCTCTTTCAACAGTGAGTGACCTCAGAGCTAAACTTTAACTAAATCGTACCACATGCAGTTTGTCATCTGGTTTGTCGTGTCTGTGTACCCGGCAGTTCCTCCATGTTCTCCTGAGCACCGGATTAAAGTCTCACACATTGTTAAACCACAGCATTATTAGATGAACCAAACGGGGAAATAGTAAAATGTTGTGGTCAACCTGCCCTGGAGCAGAAAACTTTCCATGTCAGTTCACAGCAGGAGAGAGCTCCTGTGAAAACAGGGGTGGAAATGTATCTGCATTGTTACTGTACGTGATGTAACCTTTCTACTTTGTTCTCAGCTTTTTGCTTCCTCTCCTCTATACTGTAGTTTACACTGAGCGATGGATATCAGCAGTGCTCCATTAGGTAATCACTGTGTGGCAGCATTTTTGTTAGGACTGTGTTACAAAATCATCTTGAGAACAGAGAAAGGTTAAGACAACTGTCAGATCTAAAACAGGAAGAGGTGCAGTGCTGTTAGTGTTAGGCAGACAATTGAACTAGGCCCCTCTCTTCCTCTTGTATCATACAGTCCTACAGACCATTACATAACAGCTGTACTAAGGGATTGCAAAACACACACAGATATGGTAAATGTGGGTTTTTGTAATTCTTCTATGAAGACATATTTGAGCCAGTTTTCAGCACTAGTGCACATTAGTTTCACTAACAGTCTTTCTTGTTTGTCCTTGTATCAGGTGCATCTGCGGCCTACTGAAGAACAAGCCTCGTATCCTCGTCACCCACCAGCTACAGTACCTGAAGGCAGCAGACCAGATTCTCGTCCTCAAGGAGGTCAGTGCCCGTGCACAGTTAAATAACTGTAAACTTCACTGTGTACACCATTTACACTCAAAAAGGACATGCAGCTTGTTACAGCTTGTGGACATTTGTGTTACCTTTTAACACACTGGGCCTCAGGCTAAAGAAACACTTAAGCAAACAGGTTTGTTTTAAGCATCATGTAGCAGTGATTTATGAGAAATTGTCATTCACCATTTTTTTATATTTATAATAGATTCATCTATGTTGCAAATTAAATTCATGAATGGTCCAGACCTGTTGTATGAGATGTGTATAAATATTTTTTTCCCACTGCAGTGTATTTTAATGCAGAGAGTATACTTTTAGTTAAAATGTTAACTTAGGAAAATGCCTGTAATTTACATTTTTTAAGTATTTCAAAAACATTTGGTGTTCTATAAAATTCAATTCAAATCATCCTAATGTGCCTTTTCCTCTGTGCCTTGGCTTCCATCAGGCCAACATGCATGTAATTAATAGTAAAATCTGATGGTGATGAACTTAAGCTTTCCTGTAGCACCACCCTCAGGTCAGATTGTCGCCAAGCACATAAGATACGATATGTAATAGAAAGGCTTCAGAGATTTTATTTATTTATTTCCAAGGGAATAAAAACCTTCAGTTTTATTGTTATGGTGTATTTCCAACTTCTTCACCCTCAGGACAGACTTCAAAATTTCAGCCACTCTACTGTTGATGTTGGTTCACCAGTATGTTTTCCCTTGAAAGACCATTTTATGAAGTAATATTACAGCCAGTTCAGGACACTAGCAAGATGTGACACTGTTCGTACTTCAAGATCTCAGCATCAGCATCTTGGTTAATGGTTACTGTCTGAACCATAAGCCTGTCAAAGTTGATGTAAAAATGAGTGTTTAGGTGTTCAGAGTGGTGTGTGAACAAAATTGCAGATGTGCCAGGATGTCCTAACTGTGTGTGTGTGTGTGTGTGTGTGTGTGTGCGGGTTTGTCTTTATATACTTGTGCGAACTAACCCCTGACGGAACACCTTTCTTGTGTGGACCTTTTGGGTGATCCACACAAGGAAAATGCTAGGATAGGCTCCTTTCATCCTAAAGAATGATCTAAGTTTCAAAAGATACCCACATACAGAGAGTAAAGTCAGAAAAATGTGTACCAGCTTGTGCTCTAAAAGTATCATGCTCTGATTAAATACCGCTTAAGCTGAATTCATGCAATACTGCCTGTGTCTTTAAAAGGGCACAGACAGGGCAGCTTAGAAGTGGGTGGGAATCAA